TAAAGAACAAACTTCTCTTCATTCTGTGCCTCTTCCTCTCAAACCCCTTCCCCCTTTAATTGCTCTCATTGAGAATCCATTTACCCCAGGCAACACTACATCTGGAACAAATCTCTTGAGTACTGGCTGTACCTTCATGCATATCCCCAATACAAACTGGAAGTTGGAATATTCCTTGCATCTGTTACCACTTTCAGACTCTCCCTTTGCTACTATCACTAAGCAACCTCTTCTCCTTGGAAGTTCATTTAATTAACATTTTCACCCTATGTATATCATAGTGGTGGTTACTGTATACTGGCCCCCAGGTAATTTTCTCTCTTTATAGTAATAGTTCTCTCTTTATAGTAATAAAGAAGTTCTGCACATGTATAATCTATATCAAATTACTTGCCTTCTCAACGGGAGGGGAAGGAGGGAAGGAGAGAGAAAATTTGGAACTCAAAATTTTAAAAAACAAATGATTAAAAAAATTTGTATATGTAATTGAGAAAAATAAAATCAAAACTAAATAAATAAAAAGCTCTGCTCCTGGCTCACTCTTCCTCTTCTCCAACTCTTGCTTTTATATTAGTGACCTTTGACATTCCTATTGAAGCTCCTTCAAACAGCTTAACCTCCCAATTTCTCCATTCCCTCAAATCATACGACCTGCACTACACTACACTTCAGCCACACAAAAGGAAGGCCATACCCTGGACCTCACCATTACCTACAAGTGGTTCCACTTCTATAATAAAAAACTGACACTTCTCTATCTGACCATAATCTCCCATCATTCCATTTTTCCCTTGGCCTCATTACTCTAAACTTGTTCTTCACCTTCATCCTCACTTTCAATTCCTCCACTCCTCAGTACTTTTCCAGGCCATTAGCCTGCTCTTACTTTCTTCTCTTCCCAATAACAACCCCATACTAGGAGACCAATTCAACTGAACAGTATTATTTAACTCTTAAATCTCTTGAAACTCTTGTCCTATCACTTCTCATCTCTGAAACAAAACAAACTCTTGTTATCCAACTTTAACTGACACTTCAGTGAAGCAAGACAAGCTTCTTATTCCTCCCGGATTCCCTATCTCACTGCCCACAGAAGCTATTTAAACCTTCTCTTCTTAAGCCTTCCACAACTCCCTCCCCCTCCCACTCTCTTAGAAAATGTTCCCATTCACTGTGAGCTCCTTTTTTGTTTTATTTTCTTCATCTCAAATGCCATTATCATCCACTATTCTCTTTTCCCTTTCTTCAAGTCTCTAATCTCAAGGCAGACCTTCAGGCCAAGAACCATCCCACAATATTTGCTCTTGATCCCATCCCCACCTGTTATATCCAGCAGATTCTGCCCCACCCTCCATCCTCCCTACTCTTTAATCTTCAACCTCTCCCTACCTTTATTGGTTCCTTCTCAATCTCCTTTAACCATGCTCAAGTTTTCCCCATCCTTACAAAACCTTCACTTGAAGCTATTATCCTACTCCCTTTCTCAACCAAATTCTCTCTTTTTTTTTAGGGGAGGGAGCCCCTCCACCCCGGGCAATGAGGGTTAAGTGACTTGCCCAGGGTCACACAGCTGGTAAGTGTCAAATGTCTAAGGCCAGAATTGAACTCAGCTTCTCCTGACTCCAAGCCAGAGCTCTATCCACTGTACCACCTGGCTGCCCTTCTCAGTCAAACTCAAGATCGGTCATAGAGTTTGAGCCCTTCCAATGCTTACTACCTTGGTCATGTGACTGAATCTCTCTATGCCTCAGGTTTCCTCAGCCGCAAAATAATGGTTAGATGGCCCCTGTAGTCTCTTCTAGCTCTAGATCTAAGATTCACTTCCTCTTCTCTCCTCAATTCTTTAATCCTTTGAAATCTGACTTCTGGCGACATCACTCAAATGACATTGTTCTCTCCAATGTCACAGACAATCTGAATAGCCAAATCTGAAGGTCTTTTCTCAGTCCTCATTCTGCTTTACCTCTCTGCCACATTCTATATCACTGATGGTCTTCTCATCCTGGCTATTATCTCCTGGTTCTCTACCTACCTGTCTATTCATTCCTTCTCAGTCTCTTTTGCTAGCTTATCACCATTAACTGTGGGTGTTAATACTTTCTGTCTCTACACTTTCTCCCTTGTGGACTTCATCAACTTTCAGGGCTGAACTATCAACTCTATCTATGCAGAGGACTTCCAGATTTTTGTATCCAGCCCTCATCTCCTCTGAGCTTCAATATTTTATCACCAACTGACTTTTTAAATTTAATTTCATTTTTTTCAGCCAGAGACAAGATTTATTAAAGATCCACCTTATATACTGGCCACACTCTTAAGGAACCTGAGCCACCAACTGACTTCTGGACATTTGAAACTAGAGTCAGAAGATTTACATGAACTGATGCAAAGTAAAACGAGCAGAACCTGGAGAACATTGTACATGGTAATAACAATACTGTAATGATGATCAACTGTAAAAGACTTAGCTACTCTGATCAAGATAATGATCCAACGCAATTCCATAGGACTCATGATGAAAAATGTTATTCACCTCCAGAGAGAACTGATAAAGTCTGTGTGCAGACGAAGTACTTTTTTTTTTAACTTTCTTTATTTTTCTTGGTTTTATGTATGTGTGTTTTCTTTTGGAACATACCTAATATATAATTATGTATAGCATGACTTCACACATAGAATCAATATTATATTGCTTGCCCTATCAAGTGGTAGGGGTCAAGGGGTAGGAAGGAGGGAGAGAATTTGAAATTCAAATTTTAAAAAAATTAATGTTAAAAAAACTGTACATAATGAATGAGAAATGTTTAACAAAATATATTTTTTAAAAATTAAACTAGCTGTCCTAGAGAAAATTCAACATATTCATTATCTTTTCCCCAAAATCTACCAATTTCCAAACTTCTCTATGTCTGTCAAAGGTACCGCCATTCTTCCAGCCTCCCAGGTTTTAAAACTTTAGAATCATCCTCATCACTTCACTCTCCTTAACCCCATATATCCATTCAGTTGCCCAATCTTGTCATTGCTTACCTACACAATATCCCTTGCATCTGATCCCTTCTTCCTACACTCAGAGCTGCAACTTTAGTTCAGGCTCTCATCACCTCTCACCTAAAATGCGGTGATAGTCTCTCGAAAAAATCTCTCCCCACTTGAACACATCTTCCATACAGGCACAAAGGTGACTTTCCTTAAGTGAAAATCTGACCTTGTTACTCTCTTCTTATTCAATCAACTTCAGTGATGCTGTATTGCCTCTAGGACCAAATATAAACTCCTCTATTTGGTTTTTTGAACCTCTTATCACCCGACCTCAACATATTTTTCTCACTTCATTACATATTACTCCCCCTTCCCACAATCTATATTCCAGCCAAACTGGTCTCTATGTTCCATAAATGGCATCCCATTTCTATACCTTTGCACTGACCCTCCTCAACACACGGAAGCACTCCTGCCTCACCTATGCCTTACAGAAAATCTCTCTTCCTTCAAGATGATGCTTAATCATCACATTCTCTATGAAACCACCTCTACTTCCAACAACTATTAGTGTCCTCCCTCCATAACTATCTTGTACTTAACTAACATATTTACTATTCAAAGTTTTCTGCATATACTTATACATATGCTCATTATCCCCCCCCCCCGTAAACTTTAGGTTCCTTGAGAGTACAGATTTTTTCTTCTTTTTATTTGTAAATCCTAACACAGTGCCTGAAACACAGCAGATGTTTAATAATACTTCTAGATTTATAGAACTGGTTTCCAAGTCTTTCAATATTTCCAGCGTTCATTCCCTCCCTCTTAATTCCCAACTCCATCACCATTACCTATCATCTCAACTATTTTAATTTCCTAATATGCCTCTCCTTGCCCCTAGTTTCTCCCTACCACCTGAAATACAACCTGCATATCACAGTCAGGTAAATCTTCCCTATATACAGCACAGATCATGGAATTACCATGATCATGCTATGGGAGCTACATAAAAATATTTTTAAGTATAATAATCTGAAAAACCATGTAAAGTCCTATTCAGATGTTTTATCTTGATGTGAAGTTGACTCCAGTTTCTGAAGGCCCTACCAATGGAGTCTGAGTTCTGGTAGGGTAATCTATGATGGAGAAGTTTTCACCATGCTCTCAGAAACAAACTACCTGCTTTTAAAGGACCAACCTAGCTAAATATAGCAAAGCTCGTCACCAATAGGCTAGCCACTTGGTGATATATTTCTCGCCCAGCTGTGAAACAAAATAAAATACAAAATGCCTTCAGTCCCATGTAGCTCCCTTCTAACTCTACAGTGATGTTGGCACAAGACACTAAGGACTTTTTTTGAACATCTATAAACATTAACTTAGCAGTAGATATTCTAAATGTATGGTCCTCCTCTAATTACCAAAAAACAATCATACTACCAGAAGAAGTAAATAATATCATTTTTTTGCTGTCTCACTACTACCAATATTAATAATAATCAACAATCAAACGCAGATACAAAAGAAAATTGCCACTAAAGGGATGGATAATTCCTTTGAGAAGAACTGGGAGGTGTTAGACATGAAAAGCACCAAATAATATTACTGATTAATATTTTAACAGATGAGAAATGACTGGCTACTAATGGTCATTTCTGAATCACTTTGTGTGTACAGTCAATTTCTTCAAAGATTAAAATCAATACCAAATTATAAGAATAAAAATAAACTATGGCAGGCAATTACAACCACTGCAACCAGACCCACTTAAACAAAGCAGCTGATGATGAAAAATAGGAAACATTAGTTGAACATAAGGAAAAAATCATTCTGTCTCACTAAGATTTTGATAACTTTGCAACACTTCCTATTGGTTCTTAGTTTAAAATAAACATTGATATCATAAATTCTAAATAATACTTGGTTTAAGCAATCAGCTAAATGAACAAATTTTTAACGAAAACACATCTAGAGAATTTCAACTTAACCATTTGTGAAGAAGTAAAGAATACTCTTACCGTTCTAGAATCAGAAAACGGATTATATTCATCAAGGCCTGGTGGCATATTTCTTGTCACCTGTGTAACTGATGGATCCTGAAACAGAAAATTTAAAATACAGTTAGTTTTTCCATTATGTTACTTGATAATCCATCCAAACTCATAGTGATCAGAGCAAACTTGACAAAGAAAACAGAAGGGCAAAGAGATTTTCACATAATCATATATGGTTTCTAGGATTTAAAATTTTTATGCGTGTTTTTTAAATTACATCACTGTCACTTCCCAGTGACTCCCTCCCCCACTAAAAAGTACCTTCCCTATAATAAGTTCAATGAAGTGAAAGAAATTAACATATTTATCTTGTCTGAAAATATATGCCTCATTCTATATCCACAGTCTGCAACCTCTGCCAAGAGGCAGAGAACATGTTTCATATCAGTCCATAAAAGTCAAGACTGATCACTGTATCATCAGAGTTCTGAAGTATATCATTATGTAAACTGTTCTTTCACTTCTACATTAGTGCATACAAATCTTCACCAATTTTTTCTAAATGCTTCACATTCTTTATTTCTTATATCATAATTTGTTCAACAAAACCCCAATCAATAAGTAACTACTTTCCCTCTAGCTCTGTTCAGTCTCTGCTATAAATTTTTTTATTACCTATAGGAACCTTTCCTCTGTTTATCTCCTACATTTTTGTCATATATGCCTTAATGTGGCATCACTGGGTCAAAAAGTATGCATAGTTTATATATTCACTAATAATTGAATCAAAACTTGTCATCTTTGACTATTTCCTGTTCTTCACCACATATGTCCAGTCCTAAGTACTGTTGCTTCCACTTCTACATTATCTCTTGCATATACTTCTTAACCATTTCTGTTACCACCCTAGCTCAGGTCCTCATTACTTCTCTCTTAGAATAGACTACTTCCATAGCTCCTAATCTCCTACCTGCATTCTTCTCCCTTTAATCCATCCTATGTATAGCTAGTCACCAGACTGATGTTCCTGGTAGACAGGCATGATTGCTCTGCTCCACAGCTCAAAAACTTTAAATGTCTCCATGATGCTTTTCTGTTCTACTCTGCATACAGAAATGTTCTTTTATTTGGTGTCTAATTTCAAAATAAAATTTATCTGATAATAATCAAGTCTAAGAAAAACTCTGATACAAATAAAGATATACTTAATGCAAACACATATGACAGGAAAATGGAGATGGGCAGGTCATGAATGAGGCAAAAGCAAGCAAGAACAGTCTTGTATTGGTACCCCATTATAAGAATTAGTGGAAAGTGTCCTGCATAACGAATATATATATTTATGTATGTATGTATATATGTATGTATGTATGTATGTATGTATGTATGTATGTATGTATGTATTACATTGTTGTTCAGTCACTCATATGACCCCCATGCAGTCATGGTGTTGTGAGAGATGATCTCTCAGAAGTGAAGCCTCCTCAAAGGGTCATTAGTTCTTGTTAGTGGTTCTGTTATTGTTGCTTTTGAGTGGTACCAACACTAAGTGAAGACCCCTCAGAATACAAGACCCCCTCCCCTAGCCTTCTCCCTCCCCTACTCTTAAGATAGTGTTAGCAGAAATTCCTGAGCCACAAGAGCATCCTATCTATCTCATCCTCTAGCTAGTTATATGACCTTGGGTAAAAGGCTGCTGAAACTGTGAGTCCCTGAAAAGGGGAACATGCTAACATAATTTCTATACCTCTTTGTTCTCTCTGTTACTGGGGTAGTTTTCACACAAATAGATTGTACACCTGAGGCCAGTGAGGAGATGGGAAGCGGGTTAGGGTGGGCTGCTGTGTTAGGGTCTATATAATCTTGCCTTAAACAAAGAGCACTTGCACTCTCGGGGCAGCTTAAGCAGCACAGGGGTGCACTTTCTCAAGAAAGTCCATAAAGAGATCGCTCCTTTTCGCAAACTTTTGTCAAGACTCTGGTTTTTCACTGATAAAACAACGTAAACAATGTGAGCTCTCTCAGATGGACTGAGTGTAGCAGTGTCTTAGACTGCTGCAAACTCAAGGTTGGTTACACTAACCTGAATAGGCCTAAGTTTCAGGTTCCTAGAAATCGCATTATTTGTATTGTTACATCAGCATTAGGTAATGGCTAATTATTAAATAAGGATAAATAGCTAGGATTGGTAGTATTATAATGTGGTTTCTTGTTTCTGGGGTAGATTTTCTCATTTTAGATTGTAAGGCTGAAATTCCTGTCCAATGGGAATTCAAAGCCAGTGGTGGATGGGTATCTCTGCATTAAGGCTATATAACCTTTGTCCTGGCCTTTGTGCCTTGCCTCACTTCACTCGGACTGCCGGACAAATCAGATGCCCGCTTCTCGCAAGAACGTAATAAATCTTTCACTTTATACCTAGAAAACCTCTGAGTGTTATTTTTGGGCAGCTGTACCACACAGTGTTGTCTTAGCAAAGATACTCCAGTGTATTAAGGCAACAGAAGTTACATGACTTACTTGCCCAGAGTCACACAGCTAGTAAGTGTCTGAGTCCACATTTGAACTCAGATCTTCCTGACTCCAACTCAGCACTCCATCTACTGCTTCCAATGTTATTATTTATGTATTACATATAATTTGTAACATGTATATATAATACACATATACTAGTAAGGATTTATGGAAGGATGCAGATACGAATTAGGATACGAAGGCTCCATGGGTGGCAATCAGCGCCTGGCCTATACTAGGCACTTCATAAATGCTTGCTGACTGACAGAAATACCAACTTGGATAAGATCGCAGATTGATTTAAATATTAAAATATAAGACAAAAGTGCTATAGAAATATAAGTTGAAACAGCACTAGAAACTAGGATAAACACCAAGAAGTAAAACAATTTTTAACAATAAGCACATTAAAGGAATAAAAAGGAAGCAAAGGTGCAAAGAATGAGATATTAACCAAGGAAAATGCAAAACATAAAAACGTTCACTGCAATAAAAGCACCACAAAGCACAGTTCAGCAAAAAGCAATGAATAGTAAGAACAAAATCAAAGAATAACCAAGAATGTAAAAAAACTAAAAAAAACCCCACTAAAACAAAGCAGGATTAAAAAAGAGGTATGTAGAAGAAAAATCAAAAAGATAAAAATTTTAATTTTTCAGGTACCTCAAAGATGGAGAAAAATAAATTTTAAAGACACCAAATCTGAAGAGGGATGAGACAAAATTGCACAAACTGGACTAAACACAACATTCTGAGAACAGAAATAGAATACTTCAAACTTAGAAGTTTGTCCAAAATCTATCATAAGAGATAGTTAACTGGAGAAGAGGTGTATACTCAGAAATCAAAATGACATAAAAACAAAAGGCATAAATAAAATTGAAGAGCTAAAAGGTAATGGAGGATTAGCAGTGGGCCTAGTCTTTGAGCATGTGCAACATTCCCCTCCAGGTTTCAATGCAACACATGAAATTTCTTCTCACTATCAATGACCAAGGGGCTAGTACTATATAGTAATGTATTTCTGGCTAGAATGTAATATTCCAAAAGAACTGATCTTCTCTAGATGTTACTGCCTTTCCCCATCAATCCACCTTATATTCATCTTATTTATACAGGTAAATGATTTATCTTCTGACAAAACAGAAGATGGCTGAGGGCAAGGCCCATTTCCTTTGCTGTCTTGATATCTCTACCACCTGGTACAGTCCCTGGTACAAAATGGTGCTTAAAAAATGCTTGCTGATTGACTTACTGAATCATTTTATGACTTCCCTGTGGTCAAACTCTTGGTTAGGCATACAGAATGCTACCAAAGCAAATCCAGACTGAAACCTTTCAAGCCTCTCAACTTCCTCAAAAGGGTCCAAGTATTCCTGCTGAGCCAGACAGCCTTACCAGGCCAACCAGCCATACCCTATTCAAGGCTCTTTTTTTCCAAACTGCAAAGCACAAATATTGGCATTCCACTAGCTGTTCCTACAATATATAAGATGGTTTCTTTTTTCTATCATATTTCTCTGATCTTTCTTGGCTATACAAACATTTGATTCTTTCCTTCATCAGCAATTTAGGTAACTGCATAAGAAATAATTATGAGCAATTATGTATCTTCTTCAAGAACCAGAAGATACTCTATAGAAAGAAGAAGGACATCTGTAGTCTGGCCATATTCTATTCTTTAATGTAGAGACTGCAGTTGCAGTTTGGCTGTGCCCAGTCTTTAAAAAGCAATTATTTATTATAAACAACACTGAACATAAGTACAGCTAATTAAATATGCTTAGTAACTATTTACATTTAAATTAATTTCAATAAATAAAAAGTCCCAATAGTTTTTCAGCCTCTCCCTCAAAATCTTCATCAAGATTGTTTTGTCCATTCAAGTCATCCACATTCACTCTTAAGTCTATATTCTCTGTTCTGTATTTTTTTTGGGGGGGGAGTTCATTTTGGTTTTTATTTTGTTTTTGCTTAGCATTATTTTGCAAAGTCTTTCCAAGCTTATGTACATCTTTTATGTATATCTTAATTGTTTTATAATATTCCATTAATGTGCCACAATTTATTTAACCAATTATCCATTGAGGACATTTAAGCTATTTCTGTGGGGGGTTTGCAAATGCAAATAATGCTACTATAATAATCTTTGAAAAGAAAGCTTGTTTTCTGTTTTCAATACATTTTCCACAGCTTATCTGCAAGAATATAATTATTAGGTCATGCTTAGCTTTTTGCTTTACTTTTTCTTAAAAGAATTTTGTTTCAGAATTGTCTTTTTTTTGTTTTGTTTTGTTTTGGGCTAGGCAATGGGCTTAAGTGACTTCACACAAGGTCACACAGCTAGTAAGTGTCAAGTATCTGAGGTGGGATTTGAACTCAGGTCCTCCTGACTCCAGGGCCGGTACTCTATCTACTGCATCACCTAAGCTGCCACTTGTTTCAGAATTGTCACTCAGCAAGTTTTAATGGCCAGAAAGAATATATTCTCTATCCATTGCTCTTACAACAAACAAAAAGGTTTAAAAAGGTAGGAGTGTAATCAACAATGCAGGGCTGCAGCTCTTAAAGATGCAAAAAAATGAAGA